TATAGCAAGTCACCTATAACCCAACCAGTTCCTTGAGAATGCCAGTTTCCTGAACTCGCCATTTACAAAGGGCTCTGAGAGCTGTGCTACGCTTAATGTGTTCTCCCCAGAGCATGTAAGCTATGAGGCAGATTTTTATGTTCCAGACGCACGTTATCCCGAATGAAGAGAGTATCGATCCAGATGTATTTCGACACATGAATAGCCTAGGATGCTTCAAAGACAAACAAAAGTTGATTAATGAATTACTCTCAACAAGGTGGGCGAGAGTTTGGATTTTCCTTTGCTAAGTGACAGCGTCATGCATGGAAACCAGTATTCAAACTGGTCCATTCAGTGGCCTTTGTCGCTTCTCTTATGCTTTGTTAAAAGATTATTTTATAACAACAAAACGTATTTTAGGACAAAGTAATAATTTTCAATAATCGCTTACCAAAAAAAAACCCGCAGCCGTTGACTCCTTTCTTGAAAAATATATTAGCTTCATTTGTTCAAAGAACAACTTCGACGGAAAAGTGCTTCAATATTTACTCTTTAGCACTTTTTGATTTACCTCATGCTCCAATTATTCAGCGACAATGTGATCTGTTGTTTCAGTATTGACTTTTTTATGCATCATACTCATTTACGTAATCGTTATCAAATGTATACGGTCACGATTAAAATATATCTTACAGAACGTTACGTCAGAAATTTATTAGGTTGGAAACTAAGTTTTGCCTTCCTTCAATAACTTTCCTATTGTTGAATATAACGCACCAAAGTACTCCATTTGTGGTACAATGTTTCATTGCTCCAAGAACAGTTCTTCTGTGATAATCAACATATTCGACCAAACAATGTCCAGGATTTTTCATGCTCATGCTGTCATTATTTCCCATGCTTGTTCGATTTACGAGGATGCACTAGCATTACCAAAGTACTGGCAACAATTGCAGCCTAAGGAAAACGGTTCTATCAGCAAATCAGCAGGACCTCCATGATTGTTCAATGATATTACATGTATAAATAAGAAAAAGTCCTCAAGAAAAATGCGCTTACACTCTTGAACTTTTTTATTAGACTCTGGTGTAAATCATTGTAAAATCTATGATTTTCGTTATACGTTTCCACACCAAAGACTAACAATTTCAATTCTACTCATGACCCACTTTAGGCACAACACGGAAAAGATGGTCTATTTTCTTCTTCTTGACCGAAAAAGACGACGTCCTGCTCAAGAAGATGAGACGGAGATTGTTTTGCGCGGAAATACGCAAAACAACGATCCTCCCAAAAAGCGAACGGATTCAGCAAGGGCTAACCGCTACGCCGTCGGCAGTATAGCCGATGGTAGCCCTATAAATCCGCGAAAGACATACGGGTCAGTCATTTTGCTTTTATGAGGACGACTGGAATTACTTATTTGGGATTTGCGCTTTACCACAGGAAAAAGTTTTGCAGGCGGCACCGATCAGGTCGACACAGTAGCCTTGGCGGCTCACCGACAGAATCACCGCGGTCGTCGTCTAGGGACCTCTTCTCCAGCTGCAACAGTGGGGCCTACTCTGCCCGTACTCAAGAAGATAGGAGTCGATCATCTGCTAGGTATTATTGTGACGAAATTTATGATATATGGATTCTCTAGCGCTTTTCCCACGACTTACCCAAAAATGGCTGTCTTTAGAAACACTAACAATTACCACTACTACACTCAACCGGTTGATCCACAGACTTTGGCTGAAGCTGCTCGTCATGTGCGAGCAGTGCGGCAGGAGCAGGAACGACGCGAAAGTCGCGACGCTC